AAGTCAAGGAAATGGGGCTCGAGGGTGACTTGTCCGAGACCAGGCCACTTGCTAACTGAGGGCTGCTCACGTTTAATAGACCATTCCCCAGAGTTAGGGAGAACATGCATTTCAGAATATATTCTTATTTCTGAATCTTCTTTCTGAAAAGATTTTCTTCAGCTGTGATAGAAAGCTGGCTTAAGTGTATGTACCTTCATCGGAGCGTCTATAATGAAGCGAGATGGTAGTCTAGGATTTGTTAATCTAAGAACAGTATATTTTTCAGTCAGGGTCACAATCATAAACATTCCAGCTGAGGTCACTATAATAAAAACAATCTGCATTCGACAACTCTTTGGGTTTTATTAAACGACACATAAAATTCTCTAGTTCATCTGTGAAATACAGGTATAAAAAGATGCTCTTAACAGCTAGAGACTCAAAGAGTTAGGTTTGTATGGAATATGAAAACGACTTGAATTTCTATTTTTGGTGCTTTTTGTGTTAATTTTCTTTTTAGTAGAAATAAAGGTCCTTATCGTTTAAAAAAAAAGAAAAAAGAGAAAAAGGAGTGACTTGTCTAGGGTCACCCAGCCAATAAAGTAGGTCATGTATCAACCAGGACCGTAACCCAAAGCGTCATCTGGTAAACCACCACTGCCTCTGCAAGGCCCTGAGCCAAGTTCTTTTTGAGTCTGGGGAAGAGGATCTTAGCCTTTATATTAAAATAATTTATTTTAGGATAACTTTAGACTTCTGTGATAATCTAATGCCTGATGATCTGAGGTAGAGCTGAGGCGGTGATGCTAGTGCTGGGGAGCGGCTGCAAATACAGATGAAGCTTTGCTCGCTCGCCTGCCACTCACCTCCTGCTGTGTGGCCCAGTTCCTAATAGGCCACGGACCAGTACCGGTCTGCAACCCAACCCGGGGGTTGGGTTGGGAGACTTAATCTGAGAGTTCACAGATCCACAAAGACGTCAATGGATGGAATTCAAGGAGATCTGTGAACTCGGATGAGGGAAAAAAATGGCATCTATATTTTCACATTAGCATATCTTTCTATTTTGAATATGGGCAACAATAAATAGTCATAGTACTATTAGCCATGCTTGTGACTTTTTCAGGAAAATATTTTCGTACCACATTATTGATCTCAAAATATCATTTATAATAATTGCTACTTCACTAGATCTTATAGTTTAATGCACATACTGCTGTCACCTTAATATTTTGATAATTATTTCAATATAATTGTCTTTTTGTAATCCTATGAATTTTCCTTTACATATTTAAAATATTCTCAGAAGGGGTCCATAGGCTTCACCAGACAGCCAAGTTTTCCTGGCAGAAAAATATTGCCTTAACAGGTTAATAAGAACTTAGGTAGTAAAAAAATAATTAGTACAACTAACACTTACGCAGAGCTTACTCTGAACTTGATAGCGCTGTAAGCACTTTATATAGATTAACTCATTTAATTTTCATAATCACTTTTATAAGAGAAAATATATTAAATTATATAAATACATACAGACTTAAACCAATTCACAAGGTAGGTGTGCCTCAACTTGAAGCACGACTCCAAATTTCTACAATTCCTTTTATTCAAG